GTGAGCAGAGAGGTTGACCTTTGTGGCGCTTGGAAAAATAGGTCACGTTTCCTTGGAGACGGCCATGTCACTCCTAAGGACTGCCTTTGACCCCCTCTCCTGAAATCCTGGTGTCCATCCTTCTGTCCCCCACATTCCACTGTGCACCTCATGCAGGACAGGAGGAAAGGAGAGGGGTCCTGCTCTGACCGGCCTCTCCTGTGCGCTGGGCACTATTACGTGCTGAGTGGCCCAAGGGTGGTAGCTTTACAATGCTCCTGTGCTTTGTTCCTTCCCGGTTCTTTTTCTGAGGCCACATCCGCCTAAATTTGATCAATCAATACTACAAGCTCATGGGAATGACTTAGTTTCCCACCTGCTGCTTGAAATACATCTGTATCTTAACTGAGACTTGCATCCTAACACTGACATGGTGAAGGCTGTGCACACGGATCCATGTGGACCTGACTTGGTCTGCTGTATTGTAGCGTAGTGCCCCCAAGGCCCGACCATGCTCTGGCAAAGGATAAGAGTTCCTTTTTTTTTTTTTTTTTTTAAGATATTTTATTGATTTTTTACAGAGAGGAAGAGAGAGGGATGGAGAGTTAGAAACATCGATGAGAGAGAATCATTGATCAGCTGCCTCTTGCACACCCCTTACTGGGGATGTGCCCGCAACCAAGATACATGGCCTTGACCGGAATCGAACCCGGGACCTTTCAGTCCACATGCCGACGCTCTATCCACTGAGCAAAACCAGTTTTGGCAAGAGTTCCTTCGTTTTTACTCCCAAGCTGGGGGCACAGGGGCAAAGGGGTGAATGATGGAGGGAATGGTTTTAGAAGAAAAACCTCCTGGACATGCATAACAGTGTGGTGACTGCCAAGGTAGGGTGGAAGGAGGTGGATAATTTTGTTAACCAGTGTCACCCTAATAAATTAAATAAAAATGGGAAAACTGCCCCCAGTGTAACAAGTGATGGAATAGTGACAGTACCAACATGGTCATGATGCAAAGCCAAGGAGATGGACTCACATGAAGAGACCGAGCTTGGGATGGGAGTTCGGGAATGACCTCGGGATGAGAGTTCGGGGATGACCTTGGAATGAGAGTTCGGAGAATGACCTTATCAGCATTCAGACAGGTGGCCACTCTGTATGTCAAACTCAAAGGCTAACACGAGCCAAATGAACAAAGCATGAGGCTCATGGGACTCGAGTTTGACATGCTTGATGTACACATGGTGACTATAGCTTAGTGCTGAATGATGAACAGGAAAGTTGTTGTATATATTAGTGACCCGGTGTACAAAATTCGTGCATATTAAAAGGGGATTAATTAGAGAAAATAATTTAATATTACTATTTTCCTTTTCCCTATAATATAAGTGTCAGAGATGAAAGACAATTAGTAAAATGTATATGAAAACCTTCCTCCTGTCAGAGTCTTGGGCACACTACGGGACCCAGAGTCAAGTCCCCGCCCATCCACATGCACCTCAAAATTGCATGAGACCCAACTACCGCCCCCCCAATTGGGTTATATCCAAACCCAGCCAGTCCCACCCTTGTCAAGCCCTGCCAGACAGGAGGCATAGCCTCAGGTACCCACCCCAGACCGGGGTGGGGGGTGCCTTGAGGTCCCCCATTAAGCCCTGCCAGGTGGGACACGGCCTGAGATACCCAGTCAAGCCCTGCTGGGTGGGGGGCATGGCCTGAGGTCCCGCATCAAGCACCACAAAGTGGAGGGGCACAGCCTCAGGTCCCCTGTCAAGCCCCGCTGGGCGGGGGCACAGCCTGAGTTTGCCTGACCCAGCCCTGGAGGTGCACCATGAGGCCCTCATCAAGCCTCACCTGGTAGGTGGTGCAGCCTGAGGTCCCCCAGCCTGACACTGGGTCGAGGGAAGCAGCCTGAGTCCCCTAGCCCAGCATCAGGATGGGAAGCGCACTTTGATGTAGAGGGCCACCTGGGAAGGCACATGGGCAATTTTCCTTAATTATCGTCAGCTGAACTCAAGGCGTATGCAGAGCCACGCCTTGGGAATATGTTTCCCCAAGATGGCGGACACGTTGTCGGCTTGGCCTTCACATCAGCCCAGGTGTCGGCAGGGGCGGGACCAGATATGTAAATCCAGGCATGCTAGGGCCTACTTAAGAATGTAAATAAGTTGGCATCACTTCCTGGTATTGGGGTATAAAATAAATGCCCTGGGAGGGGTCATTGTCTTCTTCCTGCCTCTCCAGCAGACAGGATGGCGGCCACCCAGCTCCCAGCTTAAAATCTATCTCTGTGCCTTCTCTCTTTATTTTTATTATTTCTCAATCCCTGGCCGCCTCCACTTAGAACCGGTTCATTCATCTCTCTTTCCGTGTGGGACGCTGAAAACGGAGATCCCCGCCATGGACCCTGCCACATCAGGCCACTGCACCCTGAGGGCCCCTATCAAGCCCCATGGGGGCGGGGGAGGGCGTAACCTCGGGTCCCTGCTGATTGCTTGTTAAAGCTCCTTGTGGAAACTTGGTCTCAGCCATCTTTGTGACAGAGCGATGGTTAATTAGCATATTCTTTCTTTATTAGATAGGATTTTTTTTTTTTTTTATTGCAGTCATATGTGCATCCCCTCTAATGTTGGATTTAGTAGGTCTGGAGGGGAGCCCCAGCATCAGCACTTTCACCAGCTTCTTAAACGTTTAAAATACAGCTGAAACCAGTTTGTCTCAGTGGATAGAGCATCGGACTGTGGACTGAAAGGTCTCAGGTTCGATTCCGGTCAAGGGCATGTACCTTGGTTGAGAGCGCATCCCCAATGGGAGGTATGCAAGAGGCAGCTGATCAATGATTCTCTCTCATTGATGTTTCTAACTCTCTATCCCTCTCTCTTCCTCTCTGTAAAAAAATCAATAAAATATATTTTTTAAAATTTAAAATACAGTGGACCTCGGTTCTTGAACTTAAATCATTCAGGAAGGCTGTTTGAGAAGCAATTTAGTCAAAAGTCAAACCATTTCCCCATTAGAAATAATACAAATTGAATTAATCTGTTCCAGGCCCCCAAAGGATTCCCTGTTAACTTTCCTTAATACAGTACATGTCTAATGGACTGTTTAATCTATAAACAAACACTTCCTTTTTTAAATTGATCAAACCACCCTACTGGCCTCCCAGGACTCATTTTCAGCCCTCATTCCAGGGGTGTCTCTCAGGTCAACATGCAGTGTCTTTGCTTGTTCATGTATCGCTGCCTCGGAAATGCTGTCACCTGCAGACTGCTTTGTCAACAGTCTTTCTACCTCTTCCATTGCCTATGATCATTGCTTCTTTCACACCCTTAAAAACATTAGCATTCTTGATGGTCTCTATGTTTTTTAAAATTGTGCTAATCACTGGTTTCCCCAGCAACAAAAGCACTCTCTCCTTTGTTTGTTGCCTGAGAGACACTTTGTCATGCTGAGGTATCAGCAAGAGAGTGTTGTCAGGTTGAAAACCAAAGTTTGGTTTCTCAACCGAGGCACCGACATTTTTTCCAAAACAATTTAGTCAAGAACTGAATTGTTCAAGATGGGAGATGTAAATGATCTACCACCACCATATTAGTAGACTTCCTCAAGAACAACCCTGATGAAAAATGGAAATGATTCATACTTAAGAGACACCCAAAAAACTCAAAAGACTGAACAGCCAAATCACCAAAGAAGATAGATAGGAGAAGACAAATGTTGGCTAAGACTATTGTGGTAGCCATTTCACAGTATACATACATCAAACCATTAAGTGATATGCCCTAAACTTATACAGTAATGGATGACAGTTACTTCTCAATAAAACAAAAATACATGAAGTTTAAGTATTAAAAATGTGTACATGGATATTTTTAGCAACCTAATCCATAATTACCAAACTCTGGGAAAACCCAGATGTCTTTCAACAGGTAAACGGTTAACACCTGTGATACAACCATGTTACAATGCACTCAACACAGGAGGAACGAAGAACTGACTGCAACCATGTGGATGGATCTCTAACATACTCTTCTGTGTGAGATGAGTCAGGCACAAACGACTACATATTGTCCAATTCCATGTATTTGACATTCTGGAAAAGGCAAGACCACAGTGACAGGAAGTAGATGAGAAGTGATCAGGGTATGAGGTATGGGTATGGGGGACAATATGCCCACCGAGGAGCATACGTGGGCTTGGGGAGTTGATGGAACTGTTCTCTGTGTTAATTATGGTGCTGGTTACATGACTGTATGCTAAACATTTAAACAGATAAATCATACCTCAGTGGGGGAGGCTTAACGTGAAGAAAAAGAAATCACACGGAAGGATAAAAAGTGGCTTCACTCAGATTAAACTCATTAGAATTTGAGAGCAAGCCCAGTTCCTGGGGAGCTGGGTGTGTCCGGCAGCTTGGGAGGGGCTTGTGTGGAGAGAGAATGTTCCATGGGCCTCTCAGGGGCCCACATCCTTCCGAAGGGGACTTGGGCTTTAGCAGAGCAGCCCTGTGCCGTGGGCGCCACACCCACCAGTAACCAGGCTTCCAGCCTTGCCCGATCGCATGGCTCTGTCCCTTCCTCGGCCCTCTTGGTGTTTGAGATTACTTCAGACACTAGTGGCCCTGGGAGGCTACTTGGAAGAACAAATACCGGATGTGCTGGGGAGGGAGGGGAGTCAAAAGGGTAGAGAGAGGAGAGGGGAGGGAAGGGGCCCAACACGCTGCTTTCTCAGGTGAGTGTTTCTAAGGAGTGTGAAGCCACTCGTTTTTATGATCCATCTGCAGGTCTGTTCTTTCTCCAAGGAGTTCCTTCCATCTGTGTGTTCCTGACGTTTTCCTAGAATTCCACCTTAAAACGCGCTGGATGCACTGAGGCCAGAGCCGCGCAGAGCTTTGCCTAGACGATGACGGATCGCCTTTGGAGCCGGTTCCGCACATCTGGAAGCCACATGTCAGCGGCAGCTGCATAAAACGGTCGGTCCAACAGACCCGGGGTGACACTTCTTGCCAGGAGCCCAGACAGCATGAGCCTTGCTGTTCTGTGGGTGTTTCTGCCGCTGGTCGCCGTGGCCCAGGGCCAGTATGGCGACTACGGGTACCCGTACCAGCAGTACCACGACTACAGCGACGACGGCTGGGTGAACCTGAACCGCCAGGGCTTCAGCTTCCAGTGTCCTCACGGGCAGGTGGTGGTGGCCGTGAGGAGCATCTTCAGCAAGAAGGAAGGCTCGGACAGACAGTGGAACTATGCCTGCATGCCCACCACCCAGAGCCTGGGCGAGCCCACTGAGTGTTGGTGGGAGGAGATCAACAGGGCCGGCATGGAATGGTAAGAGGTGCAGGGGCCGAGGGGACGTCGGGTAAGGGATCCCCCTGCCCTTGGGAAAAGTTACCAAACGCTTCCAGGGGAGCTACTGCTCCCCCTGTGGGGTCTACCCCAGTCAACGGCCCGGTCATGGTCCCCGCCTGTGCTTCACTCACTGTGGGTGTGACTGGCCCAGCCCTCTGCTCGGTCAGGAGCCCACCCCAGTAGCTACTAGCTGTGAGGCCCATTACTCACACAACCTGGATGGAGGCAGGTGTGTAGATGGATGAACGCAGGTGTGCAGTGGATGGAGGTAGCTGTGTGGTAGATGGAGGCAGATGTGTGGATGGATGGATGGAGGCAGGTGTGTGGATAGATGGAAGGTGGGGGACCTGCCCAGGAAGGAGCAAGCCTGGCTGACATGGTATGTGATGCAGTGAGTTTGGGGGAGGTCAAGCAATAATATCCTTGCAGGGGGCGGGGGGGATTCCCCCTGCTCTTGGGTAAAGGATCCCCTGCCCTTGGGTAAGGGATCCCCCTGCCCTTGGGTAAGGGATCCCCCCCTGCCCTTGGGTAAGGGATCCCCCTGCCCTTGTCCTGGCACTATCTCAGCATGCCCCTCTCCCTGGGGGCTGCCTGACCTCAGTGACAGCACCCACTGAAGCCTGGGTAAGTCCTGCAGGAACCTCGCCACTGGAGCTCTGGGTGGGTTTGCCAGGCTGAGGTCCAGTGCAGACTGGGGAAACAGACAACTGGACCCTCTGCACAGACAGTGTGAGAACCACTGATTTAGAGCAATGGGTCAGGGAAAGGGGACAAGAACCAGGCAAAGAGAAGTGAAAGTGTGGCTTCCTGCTGCCCGTTACACGTGCTCTCAGCTACTGGGATGGAGGGCCTGCCTGTCCATGACTGGAGAGCAGGTCACCAAAGGCTTCCAGGGGAGCTACTGGGCTCTGCCCTAGTCAACAGTCTGGGCATGATCCCCGCCTGTGCTTCACTCACTGTGGGTGTGACTGGCCCAGCCCTCTGCTCAGCCAGGAGCCCACCCCAGTAGCTACTAGCTGTGAGGCCCGTTACTCACACAACCTGGATGGAGGCAAGTGTGTGGATGGATGGAGGCAGGCGTGCAGTGGATGGAGGTAGATGTGTGGTGGATGGAGGCCCCTGCACTTGGGTAAGGGACACCCCCTGCACTTGGGTAATGGATCCATCCATCCACATGGATGGACGGATGCAGGTGTGTGGATGGATGGACGGATGCAGGTGTGTGGATGGATGGATGGAGGCAGGTGTGTGGTAGATGGAGGGAGGCAGGTGTGTAAATGGATGGAGGGTGGGGGACCTGCCCAGGAAGGAGCAAGCCTGTCTGACATGTTATGTGATGCAGTGGGTTTGGGGTGGGTTTGGGGGAGGTCAAGCAATAATACCCTTGCAGGATGCGGTGGGGAGGGAGGGGGGGTCATACTACCGGCAGACAGAAAATGATGGGCCATTAGGGAGAAGATTCTGATAGGTGAAAGAGCCAGGCGTGAGAGGTGACCGCTGACCCCGAGCAATAACATGGTTTCTCTTACTTAATGCTCAGAGCAAACCTGTAGATGATTTTGGTGGATGGACTGAGGTCAAGACATCAGGGGTTTCCTCACCTGGAAAGTTGCAGAGCCAGGATTTGGGTTCCACGAGTCTTAACTCCAAAGAGTTGGTGCTTAACCACAGTGCTGGGTCACTGAAGGCCTGCTGCCGGCCCCGGAGCCAGAGCCGCAGGCCAAGGTCAGAGCCACGGGACAAGGTTAGGACTGTAGGACTGAACTTGGAGCTACAGAACAAGATCAGGGCCATGGGACAAGGTCAGGGCCACAGGTCTGGACTCAGGGCCTCATTCTTCATCCTGGGGAGGCTGGGATCTCAAGGTCACAGCCAAGCGCAGCTCTGGAAGGTTGGGGACTGGCTGAGGAGGGGCTCAGCCAGCTGGTAGAGAGGGTCACACAGGCAGTGGCAGGTGGGGGACCTTCACTGGACCTTCATCCACCTCACTGCCTGTGGTGAGCAGACATACTTATCTGGAACCCCTTCTGACCGCTGCCTGCCTCAGAGACTGGCATCTGCAGGGACTCCCGGAAGTGGGGCCCTCGCTGGTGTGGAGCCTGGGGAAAGCCCATTAAACTGTCCCTTAGTCGCCCACCCAGGGGTGCCCTGTGAGAGGGCCCTCTTAGAGCCACAGCAGAGCAGCACTCAGAGATGGGTCCTCACCCCCGAAGGAGGCGCCCCAGGGCGCTGAGCCTGCATCTGGATCCTGGTTCTGAAGACAGTTTGCTGGGGACTTTGGGCCTGCGGCTCAGCTCCCTCAGCTGCCGGCTCACTTGGGCCAGACAGGCCTCGGCGAGCACACCCCCATTCTGGCTCTGCTCAGCCCTACATGCACTTGGATTTTCTTGCCTCCGCTGTTCTTGTTGTCTTTCTGTTTAGAGAAGGCAAATGGCGATTGCTTTTCAACTGGACAACTTGTGACTGGCTTGTCATTGACTCCCAAGGCCCTGCAGGGAAAGGGAGTGGGGATAACGTCATTTCGTTTGGCCAAGCAAGACGCTGGCAGGCAGGCTCTCTCCCCCTCTGCTTCCTCCTCACGTTGAGTGTGCAGAGTTAGAGGGTCCCCCTGCTTCCCTGGGGAGTCCCCTCAAAATCACAGAGCACAGAATGCACAAACATGAAACAGCCTCTCCAGACAGATACCCCTCACCCACAGGCTTCCTGTCCTCAGATAATCATGGCTTTGACTTCAGACTTCGGTCTCAGTATAAAGTCTGGTGGGAAGGAACTGCTCGGTGGCTGGGAAGCAATTACCTCTCCTGTCCAGGCTCGTAATGTGTTGTGGGGGGAGAGCGGACGGACGGTCCTGTGCAATTTGGTTGCCTAGTATAACTAAATCAGCCTGCGGGCTTCTGTTAAGACGGGAGAGGAGTCTTCAAATCCTGCAAGAAAAACCCAAGTGCGTTTCCAGGGCCAAGCAAAGCTCAGGGAGCCTCTGGGATCGGCAGTCTGACCGCTCTTCTCTCAGCTGGACGTCAGTGCACGGGGTTTGCTGGACGACAGTGCACGGGGTTTGCTGGACGACAGTGCACGGGGTTTGCTGGACGACAGTGCACGGGGTTTGCTGGACGACAGTGCACGGGGTTTGCTGAGGACACTGGCTGAGTGGGCAGGGCTTCTAACAGGGCTTCTACCGTGGCTGAGGGTCCAGGGAGCTGAGGGCCCACGTGGCTCAGGGGCCCATGAGGCTGAGAAGCCCACACAGCTGAGGGGCTTACAAGGCTGAGGAAACCACGTCGCTGAGGGTCCATGCAGCTGCTTGCCTCAGCAGCTTCGCTGAGACAGGATCCTGAAGTGTGCAGGCTGCTCAGCTCTGACGTGGCCAGGAGGCTTTCGTAGGTCCCAGACGTGTCTCGGCAATTGTCTGGAATCTTCTCTAACTAGAGAGGCTCAGGCTGTGGGACATGTGGACCCGAGTGGAACAAGACAGGGCTGGAATTTTCTAGGAGGTTAAACTCTGGTCTTAGAATCAGGAAACCTGGCTTCACAGCCCCGGTTTCCAGCACCGCGTGGCTCCATGGCATGGGCATGTATGTGGCTCCTCCTTCTAGGAAAACAGGAAAGGTGTGGCACCACTTCAGAAACTGTTAGGCTGCTCCCGGGTCACTCGCAGGAAAAAGAGCAGAGCCCTAACCAGATCTAAGGGATCCATCAAAACAAAACCCAAAACCCTCATAGACAGACTGCACTGTAGTGATTGCCAGTGGGAAAGAGGGCAGGGAAGATCAAAGAGAGTGCAGGGGTGATAAAAGCTGATGCGAGGAGACTTCACTTAAGGGGATGGACATACTATCTAATAAAAGTATAATATGCAAATTAACCATCACTCTGCTATGCCTACCAGCCAATCAGAGCAAGTATGCAAATTAACCCCAACCAAGATGGCTGTGGACACAGAGAGCAGGAGGGAGGCTTGGGTTTCCCTGGCAATGGTGGAAGCCAAGCTTTCCACACACCCCGGCAGGCCTCCACTTAAGGGTACAAAGTTTCAATTGTAGAAGATACATAAATTCCAACAGTAATGACTGCCACCACAGAACGAGCAGGAGGCTTGGCTCCATTCCAGGCTACAAAGTTTCATTTGTAGAAGATAAATAAATTTCAAATACCAGGGCCTCCACTTGGGTGGGGGGTGGGGGGGTGCATGGCTGGCCTGCAAACCACCACAGGCCCCTCACCCAGGTCGTCCCACACCCCAAAGAAACCCCACCCTGATCTGGCACACCCTTCAAGCCAAACCAGCTGGCCCCCTCCCATGTAACAGGTCTCTATCTTATCTAATAAAAGGCCATCACTCCAACACACAAGATGGCTGCCCCATGTGGTCTAAAATCCTGCCCCTATGTAGATACAAGATGGCCACCACAAGATGGCAGCATGGGAGGGCAGTTGGGAAGAACCAGCCCTGCATGAGAGGGCAGTTCGGGGTGACCAGGCCAGCAGAGGAGGGAAGTTGGGGGCAAACAGGCTGATAGGGGAGCAGTTAGACATCAATCAGGCTGGCATAATAGTGCTTAGTGGGTGATCAGGCTGGCAGCAAGGGTGGTTAGGGGCAATCAGGAAGGCAGGCAGGTGAGCAGTTGAGAACCAGTAGTCCTGGATTGTGAGAGGGATGTCCCAGTTTGGAGAGAGTGCAGGCTGGGCTGAGGGACACCCCCCCATGCACGAATTTCATGCACCAGGCCTCTAGTACAATATAACATGCAGGTGATGTGTTAGAGAACAGCACCCCTGAAATCTATATTAAATCTTTATTAAACAAACTAGTGACTCGGTACACAGATTCGTGCACATTAAAAGGAAATTAATTACAAGACAGATTTGTGCCATAATTACATTACTGCAAAAATTACATGTCAAATAGTATATATAGCATATAATTATGAAATTTAAACACACATGTGATTGGCACCAGTGATAGCTTTATATGTATCATG